GTAGCTCATTAATATTGATGTTTGTATAGTGTGCATATTTAAATGTCAGTGTAAAATGAGCAAGCCCAGTGGCCATATTTACCATTGTAAATAAAACTGTATCACATGCATAATTGTCAAATTATGCATGTGGTGCAGGTTGGGTCCAATTTGTACGGTGAATACAAGCAGCTGCCTTATCAATGTTGTTGACTTTTTGTTCTGTGTTCCTTAATTGAAAGTCTAAACTTGGAAGCGATGACATTGCCGAGGAGAATTTTTGACCCTGAACTGTGCCAAACCTTAAAGCTAGGGATGGTAATCTTGAGAAATCAGCAAGAGTTTGCTAGATTTTAGATCCAACCCAAAAAACCCAGCCCAATTTTGCCAGCTCTTTTCTAATGAAAGCAGCTAGCAGCACTCCAAAGGTCGCCATATCCAGCGAGAAAGTCGTCAAGTTGGCAACACTGAAATCCTGTTCCTGCAGGCCTTTTTCTATTTTGGAAATAGGAGTTCCTCCTTCCATGAAAACGTTGCCCCTCTGTGCTCCTGTTGTTGACTGGAAGTGCAAGAGGATACTAGTTGGCATTGGTGAAGAATGACGACAATATATCTTCCTCCTCTTCAAGAGCAGCATGTCTCTACATCCATATTGAGACTGCACAATCTTCTCTTTAAATGACCAAAATATTTCACTCCTATGTCACAGGGTGGCTCGTGTTACCCTGATGCACAGTTGTTTGCAGAATGCAGCATTCATGATATCTGCACAACACCTCTACGTCTCGAAATTCTAGAAGTTAACGTCTACCACCTTCGTTCCCGTCCCAAGCAGAGCAGGTGAAGTTATCCAGAGCAAAGGTTAAGTATCGGCAGCTCAACAAGTGAGTCCTCCATTTATTTGAAAAAAATGTAATCGGGATTTAACACATTATTGCATGCGTATGTGTGTGTGCAAATATCTTTGCAAATATAGGTATTCTTTATACGTCATGAGTAATAAAGATAAGAGATATGGAAAAGAAAGATAGACCGAGAAAGAAAATAAGTCTTTGTACAATCCATTTTATTATTTTCTATTTTAAGAAATGTGTGTCTACTTATGGAAAACCCCATTTATATTACCTTTTAAGTTGAGATGAAAAGTATATTTGTGGGTAATTGTTCAGTCCAGTGGGCCTCACATTATCTCAAAATCTAAAATCACCTTCACCTTCCTCTTGACCTTCCTGTGGCTTGATGGTCAGCATACCTATTGTGTTTGCCTGAAGGAGCATGAAGGATTTCTAAGATAAATATTAGCACATGAAACATATTAACACATGCAAACTCAAGGGAATGCCCTTTCAGAGCAAGGTCATTGAAGGCAGCATTCAGTTATAAGCCTGGGTCCCTGACTATTACATTTGTATATGTATTATCTCAGTCCCACTACCATCTAGTTTATAAATGAGACCAAGGGAAATCATTACATTCAGATTTTACCTGTGCCATGTGTTTCACTGTTTCACTAGATTACTTTATAGTTTAAAAGGTCCAGTCACTACAGAAAGTAATCGGTAACAAGAGTTCTAGATGGCTAAATCCATCTCTCCATCACAAGCACATTTTGAGGAAGATGGAGCGGTTTTGCTTAAAGTGGTGCCTGCTACTATAACCAGGTTTGATATGATTGCAGTATTTCAACAGGAGGAGATTAGACACCTGTAGCTCCTGCCATAATTTAGAGTTACCCAAAATCTACTGAATGACATGACAAGATATTACGAAATTATAGTTGCAAAGAGTGTTAAAATGACAAATTGTAACCAGTTTGGTTTTAGCTTGGGGTTTGCATGAGGCCTTTTCTTCCTATTGCCTGCTAATTTGGATTATTAAAAGAATTATGGAAAAACATTTTGTCTATTGCTTTTGCAGAAGATTCTGCTAACAGGGGCCCTGAGAAGATGTTTAACAACATAAGTCATAAAGATATTATGTAATGTTCTGTATGCTTGATGGATGCCACTGTTTGTCAGTCATAACACGCATATGGTAACCGAGTGTATAATGATGTTTATCAGAACAAGCATCCAAAGCAATAAACACTCAGCGTGTCCACTAAATGCTCCGTTTGTTCTGTTGTTTTAAAATATTTCATGTCTTGTTTATTCTGACATGCAACTGCTTAAACTTTGCATGAATCTACTGTCAGACCATCTGATACAAAAACACTGAATCTAGCATTTTTCAAGCAGCATGTCAAGGTTCACCAGATACATGCTGCGCTTTTCACCACAATCCAAAGAGCAGGAAGAAATGTTGACAATGAGGATCCTGCAGTTATCTTTCAAAATAATATGTGAAAACTTTATGAGCCACCATAATTATATTTGGTGGGAAATTGGCCTTTGCTGTTTTATTGTATCTATAAAAGCATGTATACCTTTTGAAAATGGAAACTGCCGCAGTGGTGCATTCAATTCTGAACATTCACTGAGTTTAATATGCAATCCAATTAGAAATTAAGTGTAATAAAAATGAAACGTCCATATCTTTATATTGGGCCACTTTGAGTCAGTTGTCCAATTTGCTTCATTGTATTACTATTATTAAGAGGCAATGCACAACTATTCTGGAGGTTTGGATACAACAGTTTTAAAGTGATTGTTTTGTTCTTAGAGTAAAAGTCGTGATCCAGTTAGTGATTCCACCCAAAATAGTTTCAGTCTGGCAGTTCTCACACTTTTGAGTTCTTTGTTTCTGAAGGAGCTGCAGATATTTCCCCCCCTCAGACACAAGAAGGAGATAAGTGTGTGGGAAGCATGGCCTCAAATGCTCGATGCCGATCACTGAAAATATGGGGTGTTTCTTACATAAGTCATATAGCCTTTCACATGTCTGCAGAAGCTCAATATAAGAGGGGCACCCAAAATAGGCAGCTACAGTAGGCTACTGTTACAGCTACAGCTACAGTACTGTTATAGCTACAGTTAAAGTTCTGTTCCAGCTACAGTTAAAGTGCTGTTACAGCTACAGCTACAGCACTGTTATAGCTGCAGTTAAAGTACTATTATAGCTACAGTTAAAGTACTGTTACAGCTACAGTTAAAGTATTGTTATAGCTACAGTTAAAGTACTGTTACAGCTACAGTTAAAGTACTGTTATAGCTACAGTTAAAGTACTGTTACAGCTACAGTTAAAGTATTGTTATAGCTACAGTTAAAGTACTATTATAGCTACAGTTAAAGTACTGTTACAGCTACAGCTACAGCACTGTTATAGCTGCAGTTAAAGTATTGTTATAGCTACAGTTAAAGTACTGTTACAGCTACAGTTAAAGTAATGTTATAGCTACAGTTAAAGTACTATTATAGCTACAGTTAAAGTACTGTTACAGCTACAGTTAAAGTACTGTTGCAGCTACAGTTAAAGTACTATTATAGCTACAGTTAAAGTACTGTTACAGCTACAGCTACAGTACTGTTATAGCTGCAGTTAAAGTATTTTTACGGCTATAGCTAACATACTGTCAAACCTTCAGCTAAAGTACTGTTACAGCTATAGTGTCGTTACAGCTACAGTTAAAGTACTGTTACTACAGTCACAGCTACAGGCATTTGAACTGAAAAAGGTCATCTGATGTAGTTTGACTTCACCTTGAATGATAGTAGGAAAGTTATGAAGTTGTTCTGATTTTGTTTTTGGGTGCAATTTCTGTATTCTAAAGGTCTCTTAACATTCTTAATTTATAGTGTTTTCATTCAATGTAATTATTTACTTATGTGAGGGGGCGGGTGTCTTTTCTTACAGGGATGTCAGAATTGTACCTATTAGAACGCTATTTGATCACCAATCACCATAACTTATTAACTCTCTGTTTATACTAAATAGGCCATGTTTCTTCCTGGAGGCTTATCATGCTTGATAATGATGAAGAAAATACAAATGTGTGTGCGTGTGCTTGCTATGTGCAAACATTTAACCACTTGATCCAGATAAAATAGAAATGTGGAATTTCATTTGGCTATTTCTCAACACAGGCCTAATGTTACGGTTAATGGTTTCCATATATATATATATATATATATATATACGTGTGTGTGTATGTGTGTGTGTTTGTATGTAAGGGAGAGTTATGCACTGTAGTATTGTCTTTTTACCAGTGGAGGAAGAAGATCCGCTACTTAAGTAAAAGAAGCAATACCACAATTTAAAAACACTCCATTGAAAATAGAAGTACCACATTCATAGAAAGACAAAAGTATTAGCGACAATAGTACTTCAAGTTTTATCAGTAAAAGGTCTTGTCATTTAGCATGGTCCCTTAAAGAGGTTTATGTTGTAATATATAATATATTAGTGCATACTTATTGTTATTCCATGTAAGCAGCATTTTAATGTTGCAGCTGATTGAACTCTTCACTGCAATAACAATACATAATTTATAAGATGATGATAAAAAGTGAATTTTCATTGTAAAATCACTTTAGGGGGACCATAGTTTATTTTTAAATTGTCAATATGTTTTTAATTTGACAAAATGATCATTCAACATGTAGTTCTGCAGTGGTTTTGTAAATATTGTGCTCACCCCAGCTGGTTTTTTAAAGCTCTGATAGGACTACGGTGCTGAGGCTGACTGAGTCACAGCGCGGTCGCTCTATGTGCAACAGTGCAACTGTTTGCAGAGCAAACAAATCTCACGACTCCTCCCCCTGTGCAGGCTGTTTAATTCCCGTGAGGTGATGCCCTGGCTACTAACTTAATAAAGCTGCTGGATGCAATCCCAGGGCACAATGTGTGGATCATGTTCGTCTGACAGACCTGCTCTCTGCTCTGCTTCTGCTCTCACACTGCCTGCTGCTTTCCCGTAAGTACCTCTGGGTCACACAGCCATTTCAACTTTTAGATGTGATCAAGGGAGCGATGCCTCTGCTGGTTGAATAACTCAACAGGACTTATGAATGAAAACACATCACACACAACGGGGACTGTGAGAGGGAGTACAGGTTATTGCATTTGGTAAGTTTGAACTTTTTGACTGAGTGGAAGACATGACTAAAGTTATCAATGTTGCCTTGGATGTTTGCTGACACTTCGTTTTAACTTTCAACATTTTTCTGAATGTACAGTAACAGATTCTAATGATTGATCTCTATGACATTAATAGTCAATGTTCAATGGGTGACAGCAATTAATCGTCGTATGCTTTGACAGTAAGTGAGATAATTTGCCCTAGTACACAATGTTTAAAGAATGCTCTGTATGGCATTTTGTGATGGAAAGTCACTGGCTTAAATCCCAAGTGGAGTTATAAATGTTGTGCCCGGAGGCAGCCGTGCTGATAGGGTTCAGTACATTTCCAGCCACATGCACACACCAGGAATACATAAGTAGGCTAATCATTTTGCTCATTATTCTTTTTGCCAGGAGGTTCCTTTCGCGGTGTAACTGTCAGAGCATAATGGTGGCATTTAAAGGGGTCTGGACCAAGGGCTTCTGGAGGGCTGTGTCTGGAGAATACCTGGCCACTCTCATCTTTGTCCTTCTCGGTCTGGGCTCCACCATCAACTGGGCTGCGGGGGAGGAGAAGCCTCCCCCAGCTGACCTCGTCCTTATCTCCCTGTGCTTCGGGCTGAGCATTGCCACCATGGTGCAGTGTTTCGGCCACATCAGTGGTGGACACATTAACCCCGCGGTCACTGTGGCTATGGTTGTAACTAGAAAGCTGAGCCTGGCCAAAGCAGTGTTCTATGTGGTGGCTCAGTGCCTGGGAGCTATTACAGGAGCCGGGATCCTCTACCTCGTCACACCTGCTGCTGCCAGAGGGTCCTTCGGTGTGACCACGGTAAGAATCTGACCATAGTCAGTTTTCCCTGTGTGTGTGTATGACAAGCCTCCTTAATGTTAGAGTTAATTAGGAAATTCTTCTGTTTCGAAGGTGAACTCCAACATCTCAGTGGGACACGGCCTTCTTGTGGAGCTCCTTATCACCTTCGAGCTGGTCTTCACCATCTTTGCCACCTGTGATCCCAAACGCACAGACCTCGGAGGCTCTGCTAGCCTCTCAATTGGCTTTGCTGTAGCTATTGGTCACTTATTTGCAGTAGGTACCTTCCAGTGAGTTAGATTATAGATATGAAATGACAGTTAGGGTAAGAAGGCTGAGCTAATATTTACAGCAGCGATTCTCAAATAATTGTCACGCTTGACTCCAGCAAGATGACGGCCTACTGGATCATATAGAAACAATGAAAGATTTACAGCAAATTTATATTCAAACAGTTATACATAAAAACCCAACTACAACAAATCAACCTTCTGCAACCCTATCTGCCTATCAGCCGGCCCCGCTCCCAATCACGAAACACTGATTCAAAGATTCATCTCAACATCTAATGAAATTCCACACACCACATTAAAGAATCGCAGAACAAGCCCCTTCAGCCTGCACTGAGAGCTGGAGCGCTGATGCATCTCGAGAAAGTACCAGGTGCATCAAAGCGTCTTCTGCGTGTGATATTGCACGCTTCGCACTGAATCACACCCACATGCACATCTTTATTGGAGGCTGCCATCGCATAGCAACCAATCTCCCGGGGCTCTCTGAACCCTGCAGAGCAAATGAATGCACAGGGAAATAGATGTTATCTCTCGCACTGCTCCACGGATTTCTCCCTGCTTCTGTTTAGCAAATGCATACATCACGACTTGCATTGGATCTATTTCTCAGTACAGGGACATGTTCTGTAAGTCAAAGTAAGACAGCATTTTACCTGAAGACATATATCTGATGATGATGCAATGCAATGACTAAAACATCACTGTTATGTGTCCTCTAGATCCCTTACACAGGAGCCAGCATGAACCCTGCTCGATCCTTTGCGCCTGCTCTGGTCACACTTAACTTTGAGAACCACTGGGTAAGAGATACTTTATGTAATAGGATGATCTTGCTTCTCGGAGTTTGCATGGCTAACATTTGACCCAGCTCGTGGCTGGGCCAGTTTGACTGGCCATATCTGTATGACTAAGTATTTAGTACTGTGGCACTGGTTCAAATGTTATGCCACGGTACCATGTTAAAAGGCCCTGAAATCATTTGCAGTATAGCTAATGGTGATGTCCTGAAGAGGGCGAGTGTATGCCGTGTTGAAACCCGGTAAGGTCACATTTTCAGCACCATTGCCAGAAAAGTAAAAACAGCTGTCATCTAAAAATACAATCAAAGAAGGGTCTTTCACTTATATGAGGGAATCCACAGAGAAAATCGGGTGATGGGGTTCAAAATCTTACATGTGACCCTTGGACCCTTGGATTTATTCAACAACAAAAAAAGTGCCAAGAATGTCAGAAATGACACACATTTACAGCATTTTATCCTCCAGCTAGATAATGAGATGTCCCGGAAAAAGGTGTAAAATAGCATTAGCGCTGAATTTTTCTATCCCGGCAATTATTTCCGCTGAGCTATTTGCAGACAACATGGTGTCAATGTAGTTTGTGTGTGTGTGTGTGTGTGTGTATTGGGTGATATGCTTGGGTATAACACTGTCAGTAACTGTCACTGTGGCTGGTATCATATTCACAAGTGGGCTCTCTTGGAGGCAGATGCTGGATGCCGCAGACACTGATCTACCTGCCTCTGATTAAGCTTGACCCTTTTTAGAGATCTGTAGCCAAACCCGGCGGGACAGTTTGACAGTTTTTGGTAGCGATGCCAGTGCTGCGTGTGGTCGACAGTGATAAAACATCTCCCATGAGTCACCAGAAGACTAATTACGGTGTTTGCTTTGTGTTCATGTTAGGTGTACTGGGTGGGACCCATTCTGGGGGCCATCCTTGCTGCTGGCCTGTATGAGTACCTGTACTGCCCCGACCCTGAGATGAAGAAGAGGCTGAAGCAGGTCTTTCAGAAGGACCCGTCAAGGAAATACAGGGAGGTGGAGACAGAGGACATTGCCATCAAGCCGGGATCCATCCACAGCATTGATCTGGAGAAAGCCGAGAAAAAGGATCCTTTCAAGGACTCAACGGGAGAAGTGTTGTCTTCAGTATGACTATCACGTGCACTGGAAATGGAGACCAATCTGTAGAGCAGAATGATAATCAAACTTTGGAGTGTCCATCTTGAGCTTGTCTCCCGATCCAAAGCAGAATATGATTTCTGTCCACGAGGCCTCACAGCAAAGTAGAATTACTCTCATTGCCATAAAGCTAATATGATGTTACGGCTCAATCCCATAACCTGTTCAATATTCCTCCTGGGGCCCTCCCTTAACGATTTTGTAGCAGTGTTGGCGTGTGAGGCACACGCTGCAGAGCGACTGCACATTGTGTTGGGGAAATATGTGTGGGGTCAAGAAATGATGTGGGGGCATCACGCTGAATTGGAGAAATGAAGAAGAAAACGCAGGCTTGTTATTTTTGGATTAGTGTCACATGTGGTCCGTGTACTGTATGCTTAATGACAGGAGAGAATTTCCTTGTAGTCATTAAGCACATTAAGGTCCCAAGCAATGTGAGTTCAGCTCTGACGAGCATTATCACCAGAGCTGTGTTACCAGCACTCTCTGTTTTCAGTGCATTAGTCTGGGAAAATAAGCAGTTCATGGACACGGTTTCTGTAAAAGTCTCTCCACCTTTTTGTTTGTTGATTTATGTGTTCGCACAAAACAATTACATTTTTTCTAATTAGCAAAAATTGTAATACTTAGCTGTTTATATTTTATACATCTAGATTTGGATCCTGTAGCACATTTTGTATTTCTTTGTATGATTTGCTGTATTTTCAAGTTTTTTAACTTATTGGTAAGATAGTTAGCTTTGTCTTTGATTTAGCATTTAGCAAGCACTAACTAGTTATAATAATAAAGTTTTTCTAAGTCATTGCCAGTGCTTTCTTTTTGGCTTATTGATATGTTTTGACACATGAAATCAGGATAGGTGCATCACAAAATCAGGAATTATTAGGAAGTAGTGACCGTACCTATGAGGGCTTTCTCTTGTCCTCACTTGCTTGTGGCAGCAGGAGCCGGGGCGCTGGGGGAGAGGGGAGGTTCAGATCAATGATGGATTGGCTCATCTACCTTCAGATTATGTCTCCCCATGGCCAGATAAATGTCCAGGATGTGTGTTCCTTGTGAGTTAAGTCTCTGAGAATAGCTTTGTGTAATCTCATTCCATCAGCAGAGAGCACAGGAAATGATACCACTTTGTGGTTTGAAATAGAAGTGATCTGTTATGTCTGCACTTTATTTCCTTTTCTAAAAGAACAGGTGCAATTCAATCCTTTTTTCCCCTCTCCTGTAATGTGGAGGAAATGATCAGCCCCACTGATCCCGCTTCATCAACGGAAGTTGTCTACATGGTGCAGCTATATTGCGTTTGCAAGGCTAGAATGCCACTATAAATCAGGTTCTAAATCAAAATTGTTTTTTTTTACAGATACACGGACTACCCCCCCACCGCGTTTCACCTCTCAACCCATGTAAGTGCAGTCTTTATGTGTGTCAACAGCACCACCCACTGGGCCACAATGGGAATCATCTGCTGTGTGCAATAATGCTCCCATCTGTATTTCTCCAGGGGAGGGCACCCACGAGCCTTGGATGTGCAGGTTGCACTGCAAAACATGGGTAGACACAACTCAGTTTATTCATAAAATGTCTGAGCCACATTTCATTTGAAATTGGTCCAGGCCATTAATTCATAACTAGACAGGAGGATTAAGTGTTGCACAGCCCTATAACAGGAACCCAGTAATTGAAAGGGAGCCTGAGCTCATACAAATGTATTTTTTTTAAAATATGGCTATTCTTCTGATTTTTTTTTTTGTACAATTTTGTATTTTCACCCAAGCTGCATCTCATTACTTTTCTGTATAAAAAGTTGTCACAGTTGTAACTCTTGAAAACTAGTGGTGTGAAATGTAAATGAGTGCTGCTCTTCAAGGCCCACTGGAGTCACTGGTTCTCTCAGCAGCGCTACCCTTTACCTGCAGGTAGGCTGCCTGCATCCCCGAAGGCTTCACTGGCTCAAGGCCAGCGCCCTTTTCACATCCCCTTAATCATTCTTTACAGCCCAAATAAATGAGTAGATAAATGTCATGTTTCATGCATCGACTATTTCCTCTTGGGACACTCGATGGGGGGGGGAATGGGCCAGCTCGGTTTGGATTTATTGGCCTTTGCTCATCTGAAGATTAAACAGCGGAAGGCAGGCGAGGAGAGCGCTCCCCTGTCGGATTGGAAATTTGGTTTTGTTACGAATTTCCCATTGGTGATGGAGAGTAAAAGTATTCACATGTGCGTACAGAGTAAGATATTGTTGAAATAATGTGTGAAGCATTGACATTCATTCTGCAAACGTGACGGTCAAATCCCCCCAAAAAAGTCACGAGAAAAAGAAATGTCCTCCTTGTGTGTTGACTAAAGTTCCAAAGGCTTCCTGCAGACGCCTCACTTAGAAAAGGGCTAATAAAAAGTGACAGCAAGTGATGGAGCAACACTTTCCCCGCTGTCTGTTTGTTAACATGGTGGCTTATCAGCGAGATGTTGAGCAGAAAACCGATAACGCATGGATGGCCTTCACAGAGGCTGCCTCCATAATTCATTCATTTACATTCACAGTCGTTGCCATTACCAACAATGGCTATATGACGGGAATGTTGTCACAACCGGGGCTTCATTTGCACATCATACAGATGCAGGAAAAGTATATCTCAAAGTGCATCTCATGCTTATCTAAGTGAGCACAGGCAGATTCCTTTGCGAGTTGAAAATTCAGATGTTCAATTCCCAGCACACAACAGAAGGGGCAAAAAGATAAAACACACACCTTAAAGATCATTAGCAATTAATATTTGGGGATTCGTGAAGAAAAACAGCGTTAAACACTTGTTTAATAATTCATACTATAAACAAGAAAGTCTCTCACTTCCTTAATAATTTAGACGTAAGCTAATGTTGATTTATTCAGGAAGGTCTCTGCCACCAGCACCGCCTGGAGTGCCCAAATTTGAATTAAAGTAGGACAGTAGCAGGCGAGTCTGTAATAACATTTGTATAATTTTATTATTGCTCTGGGCTCAGTTCATTTCCTCCTCCAGTAGCTGCGTGAAATTGTTTGATTCTGGAAACTGCCTTGAGTCTGCGGCTCTGGGGTTGGAGGGTGGTACAGGAACAGGAAGGCATGCGACACTCTCTCTCTCTGTCTGATGCTGTCAGACATGTAAACACACACACACACATGCACACACGCACACACACATGCAGAAAAAGAGAGAGAGAGAGAGATAAATAACTTTGTTATTCTGGGTTTTGTAATACTGTTACATTGGCTCACTTAATAACTCAAGCTGTCTTGAGAATATGATTGATATTCTCACTCACCTTGTCACTTCTAATGAATATTTCACTGCGTTTGTGCCAGATAGCTAAGAAGCGGAATAACTCATTCATTACATTATCAAATCATATAAATATGAGGGTTTGTGTTTACGGCTTTTCTTTACCGGCAGGGAGATTGCGGTTTCTTGTTGATATTAGTCAAAGAAAGTCACTCCCACTGTTCCTGTGCTTATGAGTTTTGTTTGTCGAGAAGCGTAATTGGATGACAATCCAGCTGCTTTTTCTTAAACTTTTCCGACCAAGAAATATTCTGTTCGGCCCACGAGGAAGTATTCAACTTCATCATCATTTGGAGGCTTGCTAAGCTATCCAGTCTTATCTTGATTTTGTAGTTTGTGGTGTTCCCTCTACTGTACTGTGATTTTGTTTCCCGATGATAGGACTATCATTTTCCAAAATGCTAATTTGCAAAACTCTGATTACTCCAACACAAACAATCAAGTTTGGGAGGTATTAGCGAATGTAACGCACACCTGAGACCCCGGTGGCTTTGACACAGGAAGGGCGGGTGGAGAGGTTCTGATTGGTTTCCTCGGGGCTCTGCTTCCCACCCGCACACATTCCCTCACTCCCCCCCTTCAATTCCTTTATGCAGAGAAGCCCAAACTGCAGTTTGATGAAACACATTTGTTTGACTTAACTCTTGCCTCGCCATCACGAGCTAAATCTCGGAGGCCTGTCGGTGTAATGTGGCCCAACAGCAATTGGGTTAATGAGAGGATATATGTACAAGTGCGGGACTTGACCGGAGGAGCTGTTTTCCATTTGGGTTTGGTCTGCTCGTGTTATTAGGGAAACCTTTATTATTGTTGCCCTCTAGTGGGAACCATATAATAGGATTACATTTTATTAGAGCCTCCCAGCATTACCCAAGCAGCCCCCTCCTCTTGTCTCTCTTCCCCTCATGGTAGTGTCACTGACTCCGCTGCCCGCTGTGGGTGGGGTGGTTGGGATTTTGGGGCTACGTGGACGAACGGGGCCTGCGAGCGGTGCCATGCAACGGGGGATCCTCATCTTTTCTTAGTTGCAGAAAAAAAAGTGACTTGCAACTTGACTTGAAAAAATCCTGACTTCACTTTTGCCAGATATGAATCTGAAACTATTTCATGAGCAGAATATACTCTGACGTGCGTGTGTGTGTGTGTGTGTGTGTGTGTGCTATGCTTGCTTTGTACTCTGTAATAACCCTTATTGCAACAGTGAGTCAGAGACATGTACATGCACAGCTCCACAGAGTTTGCATTCAAGACGTTTCCGGGGGTAGAGCATAAACAGAGACACAGCTATCGTGCACGCTGTGTACTGTCTGCTCATACTGAACTGAAAAAAGATGCTCCTCTGTCATATAATTACCATTGTTAATGTTTAGCCTGCCAAGGCCATACTTGATGCTCCGACTCGGACTACATTGTAGCAACGGAGTCGTTCTCCAGAGCTGAACGCCTTCATGCCAAAGACAATATTTGGTGAGCAACTCGGGCTGTGCAAGCCTGCAGGGCAGACGTCGGGCTCTTTTCCGCCCCACTCCCTTACACAGCCGGAGGCCATTAGAGGGGTGTGGCGAGTACAGCAGCAGGTATGAACATGGTCTGAGGCGATGCCAACATCTCTCCAAGTCTACGCCGACTGGTTTGCGAGGACCAGGAGAGGCGATGTCAATCAGTTGGTGCCACTTAGATATTATCTGGCACTAGCAATGAGGGTCATGAAGAGCAAAACCAGGATCTAGAATGTCTAGTCTAGTCTAGAGCCTTCCTTTCAGCCTGTTAAGTGCCCCATGTTGTAAAAAGTGAGATTTTCATAAAGCAGGTCTAAGTGCTATATAAATACTGTGAAAGTATTGAAAAAGCTCAAACCGTGGAGAAATACACAAAGCCTGTATTCAGAAACTGCCTGTGAACGGGCCCTTGGGATTTGTTAACGGTTGTAATATTACAACTATACCACATATAGAACATTTCACAGTTTTAAACGTAAACATTCTAAAATGCGTAACAGTTTAATTACGGCAAAGAGCCCTGAAAAGAAGGACGAATCATTACGCCATGGTGCTTAGCTGGTGGTGTTCTATGGGAACCTGATCATAATAGAGACTCTTTGTTATCAATAACTAACCATCTATCAATATGTATGGGTTGCTTGATACCCGGCTGCAGTGTATGCCAATGACATCAGCTGACAGGAAGCCAACATGGAGCCAGGCTGTTGCCTAGCAACGCAATTCCATTGAAAATTTGCTAAAAACTTTGTCAGACGGAGGGTGAACACAGGTTTATTCAGACAGACGGCATGAGAAAAACAAACAGCAAAAGCATGTAAATGTGTTCTCGTGAAAAAACACAAGCGTGAACCTGGAAATGAGCTTAATATGTCTCCTTTGAATTGTGTCAAATTTAAGCTCTGAAGTGAAATTATATAACTTTCTGCTCAACTGTAGCCTCTTTTGCGACACGTACGGGACAATGCTGAATGCTGAAATGCTGTCCGACTGTAGCACAAGGAAAAGAGGCTCGAAGAGTCAGCAAACGGACTTAGTGATGTCCGTTATGTTTAATGTCTGCTAACATAAGCAGCTGGTCATACCAGACCAAGTGAGGCTGTAGCTGAAAACAATGTAGTGAATTGGGAGAGGGGGTGTCGTATTGTATTTGGA